GTGAGTTCTACATCCAAAAATAAAGTATTTAATTCCTTTTCTACTTTAGGTGTGAATTTAATTGAGTGATGGCAACTGTTAAGTAACTGTAAAACGTAGTTTAAATAGTTCCAAATTAAATTTGTTTCTTTGATATAAAGCGCACAGTGATACAGTATTATTTACTTGATTACGTTTCGAGCATAAATTATTGCTCATAATCATATCAATGTAATCACACTTCTTTCGACATCTGATTTTATAGTCCTGTCACCTGATCTCTCTTTGTTTTTTGATTGGTAGTAAAGTTTTCCATATCTCTGGTATAGGTGTTGCGTCATTCCTATTACATGTGTTGGGTGTGGATTCGATGAACAAAGATTCAGTAATTAATCTCTCTCTCCACCTAGCTATATTAGACTTAAGTACAGTGGTTTTGTCCCATCCTATTGTGTGGTTGTGTGTTAATGAATGTAATGCAATGGCTGAGTGTTTTTCTAGGTTATTGATCTTATTGGGGTCTGTCGTTCTATGTTTAGCTAAATTCCTATGTTCTGTTAATCTAACTGACCCCGACCGGCTAGTTTGACCTATGTATTTGACTTCACAGTCATTACATGGAATTTGGTAGATTATATTATTTTGCTTAATTGGTTCTATCGGATCTTTTAGCCGACAAAGCTTACCTCTAAGTGAGTTTGTTGGTTTAAATGCCACCCTAATTCCAACCTTGTTGAGAATCCTACGTATGGTTTCTGATGTTCCTTCCTTGTATGGTATCACAATAGAGGTGTTGATTTCCTTTCTACTTATGTTGTCACTATTATTTGTATTTGTATTAGTGTTATTATTTTGCTTCTTATGTGTCCGTGTGAATTTCTTAATAAAATGATGGGGATAATTATTAATTATTAACGCTTCTTTTATGTGTTTCAATTCCTTATTTAAGTCCTTACAATGACTAGTGAGTTTCTCAGCTCTGTTATTTAGACATTTGACTAAACCCGCTTTAACTGACACTGGATGAGATGACTTGAAGTCTAGATATCTGTTAGAATGTGTTGGTTTTCTGTAGACGGTAGTATCTAAACCACCATCTATCCTTCGTTTTATTCTGCAATCCAACATAGGTAATTCTCCTTGTTCATTTTCTACTTCGTAGTGAATTGGATTGCGTTAACTACTGAGTTTATGTGTGTCAAGAAACTGTCGATATGTTCCGATTTCAACACTGTAAATGTGTCATCTACATATCGCCACCATATCTTAGGTGTCGGATTATATGTTCGTAAAGCCATATCTTCCCAACTATCCATAAATATATCTGCTACTATAGGGGATATTGGTGATCCCATTGCTACTCCTTCTGTTTGTCTATATATCTTTCCCTGAAACTTGAAGACTGTCGAGGTTAAGCATAACTGCACTCCTAACATGATTTCACCAACCGATGCCTTGGTTCTTTGAGTAAGTTGTGAGTCAGTATCTAGTTGATTTCTGACTGCCTCCAGTGCCATATTGATTGGTATTTTAGTATAAAGACTTGTTACGTCAAAACTAACCATTTTTTCATCCTCTTCTATGTGCAGGTCATTAAGTTTTTGTTTGTTGATATCTCATATGCTGGTGTGTTTCGGAAGTCAACTATCGGCCTAGTGGGATAACCTGCTTTATGAACCTTAATAGTACCGTAAATTCTGCTAGGATTATTAGTTTTTGGCATTAAAGTAAACCATTCGGACTTACCTAGAGATGGCTTCAGTCGGCGTATCAGATCTGTTGTAGATTTCTTAATTTTATTCATGACAGTATCTATAGGTGCCTTAATCTCTTCATATGGCCCTGTTTGGATATGTTCATGCATTTTTTAAAGATAATCTGATTTGTCCATAACTACTGTTGAGTTACCTTTGTCAGATTTAGCAGTTACTATACTATTATCCTTTCGTAGATTGTTTAAAGCTGGATTTTCCAGTTTCTTTAAGTTTCGCTGTGTCTTCCTTTGGTTTTCTAGTGCTAATGCACACTGAGCTCTAACCTGTTCAGCAGTTGTCACATCCATCGAGCTTAATGCTACTTCTATACTAGGTATGACATCTTCTGGTTTTAGATGATCTACTGTTATGTTAAAGTTTAGTCCTTTTTCGAGTACTTTCATCTCAGCTGAGCTTAAGGCTTTTGAGGAGAGATTGACTACCCACTTTGTTCTATCGATGTTCGATGATGTTTCCTTTGTAATTTCATTGTTTTCCGAAGGATATTTTTCTTGCATTAGTTTATTGAACTTTTTGATTTGATTGCTTCTAGATTTCTTTAAAGTAGCTAATCTTGCTTTGTCTGATGTTTCTATTATAAATCCATAGTCTCCGCAGTTTACTATCTTCATAATTTTACATTTAAGTTGTTCAATTTTATTACGAATGGTACTTAATTTCTTAATAATCCTGTGAATTTCTTCTTTCAGACAGTTTGCTGACATGTTCTATTGCCCGTTCGATTTTGTCAGTATATATTGGGATTCGTATGCGAAGATATTTAGGGATAATTTGATTTTTCATACAACGAATATTGAAAATACGATGATTTGTGAAACGTGCTTTAGTTTGTCAAAGTCTAAAGGGCTAAAAGATCCGATAGAACCAATTAGGCAAAATAATATAATCTACCAAATTCCATGTAATGACTGTGAAGTCAAATACATAGGTCAAACTAGCCGGTCGGGGTCAGTTAGATTAACAGAACATAGGAATTTAGCTAAATATAGAACGGCAGACCCCAATAAAATCAATAACCTAGAAAAACACTCGGCCATTGCATTACATTCATTAACACACAACCACACAATAGGGTGGGACAAAACCACTGTACTTGAGTCTAATATAGCTAGGTGGAGAGAGAGATTAATTACTGAATCTTTGTTCATCGAATCCACACCCAACACATGTAATAGGAATGACGCAACACCTATACCAGAGATATAGAAAACTTTACTACCAATCAAAAAACAAATAGAGATCAGGTGACAGGACTATAAAATCAGATATCGAAAGAAGTGTGATTACACTGATATAATTATGAGCAGTAATAATTTATGCTCGAAACGTAATCAAGTAAATAATACTGTATCACTGTGCGCTTTATATCAAAGAAACAAATCTAATATGGAATTACATTCTACCACAGTGCCCAAGTTTTTGACTTATATTAATAGTTCAAATA